TTTCAGAATACAGTTAATATTGGCTTGATGTCATGTCTCTCTTCCTCACCTCTCATCTCCTCACTCAGGTCCAGAGGTGCAGAGGTGTCTAAGAGGACTGGTGGTCTGGAGGCTGTCGATGGCCCAATACCTCGTCCATTTCTGAGACTTGCTGAAGTTCCCGGACTGCACCACGGGGAGGTGGGAGAAAGTGCAGCCCATACCGTGATGCGTGAAGCTGTGTGTGCAAGTGAAGATGTGTGTGAATGGCACGAGGAGATAAAGAACAGAGCATTTCTCCAGAGAGCTCATACCTACAGTCTTTTTGGATATGCTTAAAATGCCTCTTTAGGGGTGATGCATATTAAGGAATACATCCCGGATTAAGAGTCTGGAGTAAATACACTGAGTTAACAAAGAGAAACCATATGCCAATTCCTGTGAGTGTGTGTGTGGGCTGTGCATTCTCTGAGGTGGGTGCTGTGAAATAAAGAGGGAAGTGCAGATTAGACATTGCTAGGACAGTAGCTTTCATCGTGATCAGGCAGCTTGTACTACACTATAGTTACAGCTTGGGAGCATGTGGAATGCAGGTGATCATAAGTAATACTATGGCATACACTATCACAACTTTGTACCTAGTGGTTTGTGTGTGTCCTGAATGTTTCTGGTGTCTGCACTCTTGTGTTCTGTAGTTAGTATACTTAGAAATTCTTTCACACTACATGCATATCACATATCACTAAGCATAACTCAAAAACCGAAAGAGATAAAGCCATGAAATTTTGTAAGAATGTACAGTAAACAACAACAAAATTGCCCCAGGCAATACATTATAATGGGCAATACGTTATAATGGCCATAGTACATGTGTCAGTGTAACTCACAATTGGTAAGAGTTATGTAAGTGAACTCAATAACCAACATCAAAATCATAACTATAATATACATAGGTGGTTGCCATAGCACTAGGGCCATAGACCACGCACCCAGAGCAATGGGTGGAACCGTTAACAAACGAACAGATGAACATGAGGTGTCTGTCTCACCTCCAAGACACCTCAACTCACCCCTTCCACCAGCGTCACCCTGCAGCTCTCCAGACGCAATCTGAGACTGGGTCTGTTGTACGTGGGGATTATCGCCGTATATAAAACCTTTAACAAGGCCAAGCAAAGAACCAAATTTAAGGATGCTTTCCTGAAATTATCAAGAAACTGGAAATGCTCAAACCCATCATCCCCAAACTTCCCCTGTAGGGCAACAAGAAATTGCTTCTAAGACTACTATATGCTTGACACTCCCACAACACATGACTCACACTTTCACACTCATCATCACACAACAGGCACTCCTTCATACCCTCCCTCCCCCTATGCCTACCCATTTCCTCATTTAACACATGCGTGCCTAACCTAAAGTGCTACACGAACAAGCCAAAGAGTCCATTTCACAAAAAAAGAGTTTTACATTCACAATTTACCTTCTTGTTGCCACACAAGACCCGCTACCCAATTAGATGTAGCCTAGCCTGTGTTAGGTGACAACTGGCTCTGTCGGACAACGCATGGCCCAGCCCACCTAGCTTACAAGCACTGAGGGTTTGCACTTTAGTGTTTAGTGACACAGATCTTGTAAGCTACAGTGATCAGATTTGACTAAGAGATTGAGTGGTTACTTTGTGTGTATTAAGACAGTCTTCGGTGTGATTGTACTGAGCAGCACAATATTCATCGGTCATAATCTGATCACTCTTACTTCTTTCAATACTCCCAGGTTTAGAGTATTATGTAGTAGCAGTTTCAGTGAATAACATTGCAACTTCACACACATGATAACTTGGACTTGGTTATTCACCAAGTACGAATGCAGCTGATGTAAAGTCCTGTCTCGATTGGTGAGCATTATTTTTCTAAGTCTGTCACTAAGTACGGCAGTACTTAGTATATAGGGATGACACAGGTTTGAGATTTATACATTTCAGTTTCAGATTCCAGTTCTGACATATCAGTCTGATCCGTAATCGCATCGGTAATTGATTTCTTGAACAAAGTTATGTATTGATCGTAATGTCATAAAATCATAATCTGAACCAGAATATCATCATGGTATGTCTGTGAGGTAGCGTGATGATACACAATATGAGGCAGAATACTGTCATTAACATGCATTCCAGAATAGGTCCTATTACATATCACTAAGTACCGATCGCCGCAAGTTTATCGGTAAGCTCTTTCATACTCTTCAAATGAGCTTCCACGGACGTGCCCTCTTTCATCTCCATACGGAAGTACTGTTTCTTCAGCATGAGTTTGTTCGCCAGCGTGTCTCGCTCGAAATGATTGCGAAGGGCATCCCAGGCGTCCTTTGGCTGCTCAAACGAGGTGATCAGGTACAGCTGAGAGGAGCGAATCGCCATAACGATCGTGGAGAACGCCTTTTGTGACTTCTTTTGAAACTCCGCTCGTACCAGGGCCGTTGCGTCTTCTCCGAGAGCTTCCGTACCATCCGCATACCCCCACAGTCCCTTCGCTAACAGCAGATGCCGCATCTGGAACTTCCATGTGGTCCAGTTCGAATCGTCCAGCTTATCTATTGACCATTTTTCATCCGTTGCTTCCGCCATCCTTCGGCTGCGCACGGTGGGCTCCGAAAAATCTCCCGGTAATAAGCTGTATCACGGACAACCAGTGAGAGTGGTGCAGTCTCAACTCCGCAGTCTCTTTCTTAGTTCATCAGCGATGTCTGGGCCCATAACCTATTAGCAGATGCGCGGGCTTGAACCAGACTCGGAACTGAATATACCATTTGTGTGACAGCAGTAAATCGGTAAAATGATATAGAACTCAAAGGCTTATATAGTAAAACTACAGACGTTCTAGAATGTTCTAGCAGAGACTATTGTAGTGTGCACATGATTGGGATGTTCTGAGGTTTCTAAGGTGTATTCTTCAACCTGAAAATTACATTGTTTTCAACAGGTAATACTTAGTATATAGGGATTGACATGGTACATACCTAGCATCATAGATGTATGGGGCTATGATAGGGAGTTTTGTTCATCATCATCTTCTTCTTCTTCTTCTTCTTCAACCAGAGTAACTCAAAAACAGAAAGAGATAAAGCCATGAAATTTGTAGGAATGTACATATCGATAACCACATGGGCAACGTCATACTTTTTGGTTGTTGTTTACTGTAAACAACAACAACATTGCCCCAGGCAATACATTATAATGGGCATACTATATGTGTCAGTGTAACTCACAATTGGTAAGAGTTATGCGAGCGAAAGTTTGTATACACAATGTATTCAATAGCCAACATCAAAATCCCAACAATACATGTTTGTAAATAACAACAAATAGCCTCAGGCACTTTTCTTTAAATTAACTTCTTCACTTCTCAAACTTTCCAATGGTAACTTGGTACGTATGCCTATTATATCATTTCCATGATGATTACATGTTTCCATGACGACCGCATATTGTTCGAAAAGGCCTCAGGCAATTTTCTTTAAATTACTTCTTCACTCCTCAAACTTGCTAATTGTAGCACGCATGGAGGTGAAACTTGGTGCGCATGTGTATTACATCGTTTCCATGACAACTACAACAACAAATAGCCTCAGGCACTTTTCTTTAAAATTACTTCTTCACTCCTCAAACTCGCTAACAGTATCACGCATGGAGATGAAAGTTGGTGCGCATGTGTATTACACATCGTTTCCATGACGACCACACAACAAATAGCCTCAGGCAATTTTCTTTAAATTACTTCTTCACTCCTCAAACTTGCTAATTGTAGCACGCATGGAGGTGAAACTTGGTGCGCATGTGTATTACATCGTTTCCATGACAACTACAACGCATAGAGATGAAACTTGGTATGTATGCCTATTATATTACATGTTTCCATGACGACTGCATTTTGTTTGAAAAAGCCTCCTTTAAAACCACTTCTTCACTCCTCAAACTTGCTAACTGTAGCACGCATGGAGGTTAAACTTGGTGTATTACATCGTTTCAATGACGACCACAACAACAAATAGCCTCAGGCACTTTTCTTTAAAATTACTTCTTCACTCCTCAAACTCGCTAACAGTATCAAGCATGGAGATGAAACTTGCTGCGCATGTGTATTACATCGTTTCCATGACGACCACAACAACAAATAGCCTCAGGCAATTTTCTTTAAATTACTTCTTCACTCCTCAAACTTGCTAATTGTAGCACGCATGGAGGTGAAACTTGGTGCGCATGTGTATTACATCGTTTCCATGACAACTACAACAACAACTAGCCTCAGGCACTTTTCTTTAAAATTACTTCTTCACTCCTCAAACTTGCTAACTATAGCACGCATGGAGGTGAAACTTGGTGCGCATGTGTATTACATCGTTTCCATGACGACCACAACAACAACTAGCCTCAGGCACTTTTCTTTAAAATTACTTCTTCACTCCTCAAACTTGCTAACTATAGCACGCATGGAGGTGAAACTTGGTGCGCATGTGTATTACATCGTTTCCATGACGACCACAACAACAAATAGCCTCAGGCACTTTTCTTTATAATTACTTCTTCACTCGTCAAACTTGCTAATGCAGCACACATGGATGGTATGCATTTCATTTCCATGACGACAATTTTTTCTCTATTATTAATTTTTATAGGGGCTTGCCCCCTTCCACAGAGATATACGTAGTATATAAAAATGAGTGGAGACAAGTAAATAAAAAATCCTGCGGATTAAAAAAAGAGTGCATATAGGGATCGTATAAAAAGAAAGGGAGACAAGATAGGGATTGTGTTTGTGGAAGCACAGAGATGCTAGCGAGGAGTTAGGACTCCCACAGGTCATTACAACAGCCCTATATCGTCGTACGGTGGGAGTACCTAGCATCATAGATGTATGGGGCTATGATAGGGAAAGTTTTCAATCTTCTTCGTAGGGTGGGAGTGGGAGTGATGAGAGAGTCTGTAGAATATTGCTATAGGTAATGAAGTACTTACTAATTACCTTTGATAGATTTGTCATGCTACACTTCCATGGAGTGCGCATTTAGGTGGAAGTGTAATCAGCTGACCATAACATTGGATATACATGTATAAGCTTATACATGGAAACATGGAAAAATTGTGTAACGCAAGAAAACAAAATTCAAGTATGCAAGGTTGGCTGATATATTCACGAGGAAGTAGTAAAGCACCGATACGACGATATAGGGCTGTTGTAATGACCTGTGGGAGTCCTAACTCCTCGCTAGCATCTCTGTGTTTCCACAAACACAATCCCTATCTTGTCTCCCTTTCTTTTTATACGATCCCTATATGCACTCTTTTTTTAATCCGCAGGATTTTTTATTTACTTGTCTCCACTCATTTTTATATACTACTACGTATTATCTCTGTGGAAGGGGGCAAGCCCCTATAAAAATTAATATAGAGAAAAAATGCCTGTTGTCGTCATGGAAATGAAATGCATACCATCCATGTGTGCTGCCGTTAGCAAGTTTGAGGAGTGAAGAAGTAATTATAAAGAAAAGTGCCTGAGGCTATTTGTTGTTGTGGTCGTCATGGAAACGATGTAATACACATGCGCACCAAGTTTCACCTCCATGCGTGCTACAGTTAGCAAGTTTGAGGAGTGAAGAAGTAATTTTAAAGAAAAGTGCCTGAGGCCTTTTCGAACAATATTCGGTCATCATGGAAACATGTAATCGTCATGGAAATGATATAATAGGCATACGTACCAAGTTTAATCTCTATGCGTGCTACCATTGGGAGTGAAGAAGTTAATTTAAATAAAAGTGCCTGAGGCTATTTTTTGTTGTTTACAAACATGTGTTGTTGTGTTGGTGATTGAATACATTATGTCTACAAAGTTTAGTTCACATAGCTCTTACC